TCTATGTTCATCAGGGATATTGGCCTGTACTTCTCTTTCTTTGTAGTGCCTTTATCTGGCTTTGGAATTAGGATAATGCTGGCCTCATAAAGAGTTTGAAATTGTTCCTTTCTCTTGGATTGTTTGGAATAGTTTGAGGAGTATAAGTGTTCATTCTTCTGTGAATGTTTGGTAAAACTCCCCTATGAAGCCATCTGGACCAGGGTTTTTGGTTGCTGGGAGTTTTTTGATTACTGCTCCTATTTCATATGTTGTTATTGGCCTATTCAGGTTTTCTGACTCCTCCTGATTCAGTTTTGGGAGATTGTATTTTCTAGGAATTTGTCCATTTCATCCACATTGTCCTGCTTGTTGGCATATAGTTGTTCATAGTATTTTCTTACCATCCTTTGTATTTCTGTGGTCTCTGTTGTTACTTCACCTCTTTTGTTTCTGATCTTATTTATTTGGATCCTCTCTCTGTGTTTCTTGATGAGTCTAGCTAAATGTTCATCAATCTTGTTTATCTTTTTATAAATCTTATTTATCTTATTAATGGTTTCATTGATCTTTTGGTTGCTTTTTTAGTCTCTGTGTCATTTATTTCCACTCTGATCTTTATTATTTCCTTCCTTTTATTTACTCTGGGCTTTTCTTGTGTTCTCTCCCCCCCCCCCCCCCCCCCCCCCCATATATTTCTTTAAGTTGTAAGGTTATATAGTTAACTAGAAATTTTTCTTGTTATTTTGTGTGTGTGTGTTTTGTTTGTTTTGTTTTGTTTATGTAGATCTGTAGTGCTATGAACTTCGCTCTTAGGACTGCTTTGATTGTGTCCCATAGTTTTGGAATTGTTATGTGGTCATTTTCATTTGTTTCCTGAAAGTTTTTTAATCTCCCTTTGATCTTATTGGTAACCTGTTCATTGTTTAGTAACATGCGATTTAGCCTCCTTGTGTTTGAGTATTTTATTTTATTTTATTTATTTTAGTGTGTGTGAGTCTTTTTGGGTTGATTTTGAATGGGACTCTCTGTGTTTCCTGGACTTGTTTGACTTTTTCTTCACCTAATCAGGGAAATTCTCTGTCATTATTTCTTCAAACAGGTTCTCTATTTCTTGCTCAGATTCTTCTCTTCTGGCACCCCTAAGATGTAGATGGTGTTATGTTTCATATTCTCCCAAAGCTCCTTTAAACTCTCCTCCTGCTTTTTAATTTTTTTTCTGAATTGCTGCTCTGAATGGATGTGTTTTTTTTCTACCTTGTCTTCTAATTCGCTGATTGGGTCCTCCGCTTCTTCTAGTCTAGTGTTGAATCCTTCCAGGGTATTCTTTATTTCAGCTATGTCATTCTTCATTTCTGATGGAGTCTTATTCATCTCTCTCTTTTTCATGCTGGTGTAGTTCTTACTATGTCCCACATAGTTCTAATTAAGTTGCTTAGATTTCTCACTAAGTTGTTTGAATAACCTTATAGCCATTACTTTGAATTCTTTATCTGACAAATTGCTTGCTCCCATTTTTAGTTCCTTTTCTGGTGATCCCTCTTTTTCTTTCATTTGGGGGTTGTTTCTTTGTCTTCCCATTTTTGCTGTCCCTTTGTATTTGTTACTACGTATTAGATCAAATTGCTATGCCTCCCAGTCTTCGTGGGGTGGCCTTATGTAGTATGTGTTTTGTGGGACCCAGTGGTGCAGTTTCTTATTGGTAACCAAGCTGGCATATAGATCTCCCAAGCTGGGTGCACTAGGAGTGTCCCTATTGTGAATTATTTGTGCTCTCTGTTGTAATTGGGTTTTGAATGTTGTTGCCCCATTTGTGGATGGAATCTCCTCTTAGTCTGGCTGACTGTGAGGCTCACCCCCGACCATATAATGCAAACAGTTGTGCACAGTTGCTTGCATTATATGGTCGGTGGTGAGCCTCACAGTCAGCCAGATTTGACAGAACAAATCAAAACAAGAAGCAAAAAAACCAAAACAAAAACTTCCAAAAAACCCCTACAATGACAACAAAAGCAACCACAGAAGAAGAGAGAATTAGGAAAGAGAAAAGGGAACAAGAATGATAGAAGAAAAGAAAGAAAAAAAAAGTACAAGGGAAAAAAAGGGGAAGAAAAAGCAATTTGAAAGGGCAGAAATGAAATAAAGAAAATAAGAATAAAGAATAGGGGGAGGAAACAGTGTACAAATAGAGGAAGAATAAATAAGAAATGGGGAAAAACACATGAGAAAGAAGGAAAAATAGAGTAAGAAAAAGGGAAGAGAAAAATTAGCTATATGAAAGAAAAAGACTAAAAGAATAGAAAATCAATAAAAAAGAAAGATAAAGAATATAAAGGAAAAGAAAGGTAAAGTGGTTGTCTTAGCAGAGCAGTGTCTCATGGGAGCTCCCTTGGGTCCTGTTCTTCTGGTGTCTGGAGCTGACTGTTGTGTCTGCCAGTTCTGGGCTTCCCTGGGAGGCACTTAGGTGCTAACCACTGTGAGAAACTGTCTTCCTTTGGCTCTCAGCAAGCTGTTTGAAGCTTCAAGGGATCCACATTTTGTGTCTGTCTCCATAGGACTTGGCTGCACGCAGTAGGGCCCAAGCTGCACTCTAAAGCCGGTTTGTTAGCAGCATGGGGCCAGGGATGGGTCAGCAAATTTCTCCTGGTTTCCTGGTCTCTGCCTACACCTGCTTTTGTGTAGTAGCCAGCTGTCAGTCTTAATCACTCAAAAGTCTGTTTCTGAAAGGGCTTTAGGCAGAATGAGGATTATAGACCTCTGGGTTTCCCATGAGGGGGAGGTGCCGTTCAGAATTCAGGGAAAGTGGTGGGTGTGTTCGTGTCCCAGAGCTAATCCTGTGAGAGTGACCCAGAATATTTCCCTGCCCTCAGGTGGTGAAGATCCTCGTATGCAGTCCAGTGGGATCAGCTGGATACCGGGAGTTTCTATCAGCTCTCCCGCGAGGGGAAAGCACCAGTCAGGTTCCCGGGGTATTGGGGTGGATGGCACCACCCCCAAGCCAGTCACTGATGCTCCTGGAGACTGTTCAAACCCGTAGACTTGGCCTCTGCTGCTGTCTCCTCTGCGAAGGCCGAGGTGCAAGGTGTGGCAGGCCGGGCTCCTGAGGGTGGGGTGGGCTGTATCACCTAGGGTGGAGTTGCTTCCTTTTCTGGAGCTATAGCTTCTGGGAGGGGCCCGCACCTCTCAGGAAAAATGTGTGTTTTGTTTTGGGGGCGTACTTCCCAATGCAGGACTCCCAGCTGCTGCTAGTCCATGTCTCCCCCCAATGCTTCCCACCCCAGCCTCTCCTTAGGCACCTTGAGTCCGCACTGCCCCCCTCCCTCGGATGAGTAGCTGCAAGTGAAAATCCTGTGCTCCGGGTTAAAAAACCAACCACAACAAAAAACCTGAGGCTTTATCTCCGACCTGCTCTGGTTTCCCCAGCAGCAGACACCCTGCTGCCTTTCACGGCGGGATGTTACTGGGCTGCTGTTCTCAGCTGTGGTGCCCAGCCTGGGTTCCAGGCCTCAATCTTCTCAGGGATAAAACCCTCCCATAGCCGAGTGATCTCTCTTCACTCTTGGCCTGCTGCCCTGGAAGCTGGGTCAGCCCCTTTTTCGACCTCGCTCTTCCTGCCAGTCTCCAGGTGTTTTCTGTCCTTCCTGGATATAAGCCTCCTCCTCAGTTGGTAATTCTGGCTGAATGTTCCCCATTTTAGCTTTATTTCCAGTCTGGCTCCAGAAGGAGGTGCAAGAAAGGTCTGCCTATTCTACCACCATCTTCTCCCTGACTGTGCTTCCTGGACGTGGGAGTCAGTGTCAGAGATTAGACCAGGCCTGCCTCAGCACTGTGGGTGTGCCTGTGTCTTGTCTCCTACGTGCCTGTAAATGCTTGGTGAGCAAGGCACCATGCCTCGGCCACCACGCCGCCTAATTTCAAACTTGGCATGGTTATTTAATTGTATAATCCTCAACTTCATCAACAATACAATTTTTTGACAAACTTTAATACTTAATTAACAGAATTAGCAGCCTTCAAATATGCAACATGGATAAAGATTGAAAAAACAACTGAAGAATTTTGGCATACACTGCTCTGGATTAATTTGTGAATTATGATATTTATATGTTCAGAATTATACGGAAAATATTTACAATGTTATATTGTCTTGGCCTGGCCAGCATGGCTTAGTGGTTTAAGCGTCGACCTATGAACCAGGAGGTCATGGTTCAATTCCTGGTCAGGGCACATTCCCGGGTTGTGGGCTTGATCCCCCATGTGGGACCTGCAGGAGGCAGCTTTTTTTTTCTTTTTTTAATTGATTTTTTACAGAGAGGAAGGGAGAGGGATAGAGAGTAAGAAACATCAATCAGCTGCCTCCTGCACACCCCC